CGCGAAGAAAAAACGAATGTGTCCCGCATGGTATTATTTGACAGGGATGATGGCCCTGGCAGGTGCGCAACCGTTGTTGCAGAAGTTCGAAAAAGTTGCTCGCAAAAGCCCGTTTGACAGAAATGATTAAAAAGTGTTGGGTTTCCTACGAATCCGCAAGAGCGCGCGGGATGAAATTTTGACAATTTTTTTTTGAAAAACCATTGGTTTTTTGATGTTTTTATGTTAAAATCGCTACGAAAACTAAGGTTTTGGAAGGATTTCGTCTTGCGCGCGCGAATGTCCACTTTACCTTATTTTTTGCAAGGGATTCTTGAAGTTTGGTTATGTTAGAACAAGAAATGTCCACTTTAGCTTATTTTTTGCAAGGGAAAACCGATCGTAACAACACAACCGGATCCGGACCAACCCGTTTTGCCTGAGACTTCCTCACGAAAATGATGAAAATGAGGCTGCGGCCTAGGCGCGGCGGGGGGGTCGTGCACCAGGGGCCCCACCAATAATTATTCTTTAGAAGTAATAATGTTCAACAACAACAACAACAACAACAACAACAACAACGGCTTCCGCCTGAGACTTCCTCACCAATTGATTGAAGAATCGAGCTCTCGCTTTGGACTTCCTGGCAATTTACCACCGAACCGCGGCTCCCGCCTGAAATTTCCTGACAATGTACTATAGAATCGTGTAATCGAATCGCGTTCTCGTTTGGGATTTCCTCGCAACTTACCACCGAACCGCTTCGCTTGATATTTCCTTACAACTTATCCAGATTCTGGTCCTCGACACTCAAGGATCGCGCCCCCGCTACATATTGCCTCGTCTTTCCAACAGGATTCACGCTTCAACGACCCGCCCGCTCGACCCGCCCGTCGGGGCCTGCACGCCCGACCAACCCGTTAATGACTGCAGTCGCCGCTCGCTGCCCTTCGCCCGCCTTCGATGCCCCTCGCTGCCCGTACTGGTTCCGCGGTCGCCTTCGCTCGCTGCCCTTCGTGGCCCCGTTGCTGCCCTCAGTGGCCCCGTCGCTGCCCTTTGTGGCCCCGCATTATGCCCTTCGTGGCCCCCGCTCGCAGGCGCCCGTCGTGGCCCCATACGCATGCCCTTCGTAGCCCCGCTGTCGCCCTTCGTGGCCCCCTCGCTGCCCTTCGTGGCCCCTTTGCTGCCCTTAGTGGCCCCGCTGTCGCCCTTTGTGGCCCCTTTTCTGAATGCCCTTCGTGGCCCCCGTTCGCTCCCGTCGTGGCCCCAACTGCATGCCCTTCGTGGCCCCGCCGTCGCCCTTTGTGGTCCCCTCGCCGCCCTTCGTGGCCCCAGTGCTGCCCTCAGCGGCCCCGTCGCTGCCCTGTGGCCTCGGATGTCCTTGGGTTGGGATCGCGTTATCGCGCGAAACGTCCTCGAAATTCAGGCAGGACCCACGCTTCAGCAACCCGCCTGTTCGACCTCGTCGCTTGGGCCCGCCTCCCCGACCTGCCCGCTATGGGTCTGCCCACCCGATTTGCCCGTTTAGTTATACCACTTGTTTTCTGCTCCTTGCCCCCCTCCTGCTAATTTGTTTCGTGCTCCATTCTTCTCACTCCCCCTTTCACCCGTCCTCTCTTCCCTTGTTTAAGGGGTTACATTGAATACACGTGGCAGGTAAGGAAGATGTACCCCAAATGGGTACGACCGAAGACAACGAGGGCCAATACCGAGGATTTGGGATATACGTATTAATTTGCATTTGAGCAGATAGGAGCGAACAGTCTTAGAATGATTGTTGTTGTTGTTGAACTCTCACTACTAAAGAATGAATATTGCTGATTCCCCACCACCGGTGCACACTGTTCTTTTCAATTGAAATGCCCCTCCCGGCGCTCGCACCCGTGTTTTTTCTCAGGGAAAATCTTGCAACTCAAACTGGGCCCCTGGCCCCCAGGTTACAACAACAACGGCTCCCCCTTGAGACTTCCTCACAACTTAGCCAGGACCCCCGCTCCCGCCTGAGATTTCCTCGCATTTGATTCAGGAATCGCGCTCTCGCTTCGGACCTCCTTACAATTTATTCAGGAGTCGCTACCTCGGCGCTCTGGAGTCGCGCTCTCGCTGGAAACTTGCTTGCACTTTACTCAGAAACGGCGCCCTTGCGTAGGAAATTCCCGCAATTTCCTCAATCGCGGCGCTCCCGACACTCAGGCACCCAGGAGTCGCGCTCACGCTTAGGATCCCCTCGCAGATTACTTAGGAATCGAGATCTCGCCGCCCTTCGTGGCCCCTTCGCTGCCCTTCGTGGACCCGTTGCAGCCCTTCGTGGCCCTCTCGCTGCCATTCGCGGCTCCGTTGCAGCCCTTCGTGGCCCCCTCGCTACCCTTCGTGACCCCGTTGCAGCCCTTCGTGGCCCCCTCGCGCCCTTCGTGGCCCCATATAACTGTATGCCGTTTGTGGCCCCCGCTTGCTCGCGCCCGCCGTGGCCCCAACTGCATGCCCTTCGTGGCCCCGCTGTCGCCCTTTGTGGCCCCCTCGCTGCCCTTCGTAGCCCCGTTGCTGCCCTCGGGGGCCCCGTCCTTGCCCTCCGCGGCCCAATATACGTATGCTCTTCGTGGCCCCCGCTCGTTCGCGCCCGTCGTGGCCCCTTGTGCATGCCCTTCGTTGCCCCGCTGTCGCCCTTCGTGGCCCCTCGCTGTCCTACGTGGCCCGGTTGCTACCCTCAGTGGCCCCGTCGTTGCCTTCTGTGGCCCCGCCTTATCTGCCCTTCGTGGCCCCCGCTCGTTCGCGCTCTTCATGGCCCCATACGCATTCCCTTCGTGTCCCCGCTGTCGCCCTTCGTGGCCCTGCTATCGTTCTCTCTCTCGCTCTCGCTTTCGCTCGTCGTCGTCGTCGTCGCCGTCGTCGTCGTCGTCGACGTCGTCGTCGTCGTCGACGTCGTCGTCGTGGTCGGTCCTTTGTCCGTCCCTCTTGGGGTCGGATTGCCGCCGATCAGCGCTGCCGCTGGCCAGGCCGATGGTCCGCGGCCGCCCCGCCGCTTGCCGGGGCCCGGCATGCAGGGAAGAAAAGTATACCCCCCAATAGGGGTACGATCGAAGACGAAGAGGGCGGGTATCGAGGGTTTGGGAAATACGCGTCACCGCACACTCGAGCAGATAAGAGCGAACAGTCTTGAACTGATTGTTGTTGTTGTTGTTTTGCTGTTGTTGTTGATGCTAGTGTTGTTGTTGTTGCTGTTATTGTTGATGGTGTTGGTGTTGTTGTTGCTGCTGCTGCTGTTGTTGCTGTTGCTGTTGTTGTTGTTGTTGTTGTTGTAATTGTTGTTGGTGTTGTTGTTAGTGCTGTTGTTGTTGTTGGTGTTGTTGTTGTTGTTCGGGGGGGCAACAGTTGGAGGAGGAAGACATTTCCTGATACAAAACAGGGTGCGAGCCCTGGGAAGGGCACTTCAATTGAAAAAACACATATGTAATTGGAGGGGGATCCACAATACATGTTCTTCCATAGTGAAACTTCCACAACAACAGCTCCAGCAGCAGCAGCAGCAGCAACATAAACACCAACAACAACATCAACATCAGCATCAAGATCAACATCAGCATATCACCATCACAATGACCATCAGCATCAGCATTATCACCATATCAATCCCATCAGCATCAGCTGCATCAGCATGAGCATCAGCATGAGCATCAGCATGAGCATCAACATCAACCTCCTCGTCCTCCTCGTCCTGATCGACCGCCTTTCGCTTTTCCTGTCTCCCCCCCCTCCTCCCACTCTCCCTTATCCTTGTGGTGGGAGGGAACAGGACGCCGACGACGCGGAGGGGGGTGGCGTTGGCGACGACGACGACGACGACAGTAGAAAAGAAACATCGGAGGAAGAAGAAGAAGACGAGAACAAAGAAACTCCATAAACACAAATCTTCCGATATCCACGCGGATGTCTTTGATCTGCGCTGGACGGGCGGCGCCAGAGGCGCCCCCCAGGGGGGCCCAACGCCGATCCGAGAAGTCCGCGCGGAGCTCCGAAAGTTTGCACGCATGCTGATTTTCTCGTTCGAACGACGACGACGAGAACGACTACGACGACGAGAAAAGAGGACGCCCAGCGACGACGACGGCGGCGACGACGGCGAAGACGACGACGAAAACGACGACGACGACGACGACGACAGCGGCGACGACGAGAACGACAACGACGACGAGAACGACGACGGCGACGACGACGACGACGGCGGCGACGACGAGAACGACGACGGCGACGACGGCGACGACGACGACGACAGCGGCGACCACGACGACGACGACGGCGGCAGCGGCGGCGACGGCGACGACGGCGACGGCGATAGCGACAACGGCGACGGCGACGGCGGCAACGACGGCGAGGACGCCGGGCGGGAGTGGGCTTGTGCGCCGGGCGCCCGATCTGCGCGGGACGGCGCGGCCGCCCCCGGCGTGCCGGGGGGGGGAGGGGGGGGAGGTGGAGGTGCGCGGCGGGGCGCGCCCCAGCCGCGGGTTTGAAAAAGTGTCTACGTAAAACAGTCAGCGGCGAACCAGGAGGAGGACGAGGAGGGCGAGGATGAGGAGGAGGTCGAGGAGGACGAGGCGGCGGACGGGGCGGAGGAGTACGAGGACGGGGACGAGGAGGAAGAGGAGGACAAGCAGGTGGAGGCTGTGCGCCGTAGGGCCATGAGGAGCGTCATGAGATCCAGAGTTCAGTATCGAGGAGGACAAGGGAAGAAGTTTAAAGAGAGGGAGGAGGGAGCGAGGAGGCAGAAAACGAGGGAGCGAGGAAGCGAGGAAACGAGGGAGGCGAAGAGGAGGGGCCCAGCGTCGCAGGTCGTGGAGGAGGGAGCGAGGAAGGGAGGGGGCGAGGAAGGGAGGGAGAGGAGGAGAAGCCAAGGAGCGGGAAAAGAACCACAAGAGGGGGACCTGGGCATACAACGTGAGCTAGCAGCTAAGACGTGCACCTGGCCCAACGGCCCAACGGACGCGGCGCGGGAGCCGTGCAGTGCACAGCCTCGCAGCGCCCGCGATTCACTGCGCTCCGTGGGCCCTGAGCACCTGGATCACGGCCTCGTGCCTGTTCTGCGTGGCGACGTCGAGCGGCTTCCGGCCCTGAGCGTTGGCCTGCGCCACGCTGCCGCCGGTCTTGAGCAGGTACTCGACCAACTCCCTGCGCCCGTAGCCGGCCGCATAGTGCAGAGCCGAGTTGCCGTTGGAGTCGACGGCGAACGGGTTGGCCCTGCTGTCCAGCAGCAGCTTGACGACGGCGATGCGGTTGGCGCCGACGGCGTAGCCCAGCGCGGTGATGCCCTTCGGGTCCTGGGCGTCCAGCGGCCTCTTCTTCTCCATGTATTCCTGGACTGCCTTGAGGTCGCCCATCTTGGCTGCCTCATGCAGTGATAGAGGCGCGTCGTCGATCTTCTTCAGCGCCGGCTGGAGCTCCTCGGGCACTCCGCCCATGGCCTTGCTGAACTTGAGCATCAGCTCCTCGTCCTGGTAGTGCTTCATAACTGCCTCCATCCCGCTCTTCTTGTCGGGGAAACGTAAGACTCGGGTTCGGGGGACTCGTGTTGGCCTGTCGGGTCCATTATGAAAATGACGAGACCCAATCTGAAAATTGACGCGAACTCCCGCTGCAAACATCCTGCGAAAAATGGACCGTCAAAATCCGGGACGCGCTCGTCAAAGAGCGTCAGCAAACCCGAGCTCCGGCGTGCTCGAGTCTTACGTTTCCCCGTTCTTGATGTCCTCGATGATGGGGGCAAGTTCGGGGTCCTGTGGCGGCGCGCAGAGGGGGATGGGAGGGGGAAAGGCTTCTTCCCCCCTCCCCCTACCTAGGGACACCGAAAGGTACCGATACCGCTACTTCCCGGACCTCTCCTGGGGCGCGTTCTGACCAGAACTTCGAGGCGAATCCAGCGGTGGCGACGAGGGCCTCCCAGGAGGCTCAAGAACGGGAAACGGGGCAAGGGTAGAGGTACGGGTACCTTCTCCTCCTCCCACTGCCCCCCTCTGCGCGCCGCCAAGTCCTGCTCCAGCGCTCTCATGCGGGCCTGCGCCTGGGCGTCCCCGCTCTCCAGCTTCCTCTGGTAGTAGTCCGACATGGCCTATCAGGAGGGTGGGGGCCGCCGACCACTCGGCCGGCACCGCTCCTCCGGCCAGGCCGATCGATGCCTCCCCCGTCTTCGCCCGAAGGAGGAGGAGGAGGAGAAGGAGGAGGAGGAGGAGGAGGAGGAGGAGGAAAGAGGAGGGAGGAGGCAGAGGAGGAGTAGGAGGAGTAGGAGGAGTAGGAGGAGGAGGAGGAGGAGGAGGCAAAGGATGGAGGAGAGAGAGAAGAAGGAGGAGGAGGAGGAGGAGGGGAGGAGGAGGAGAGAGGAGGAGGAGGAGGAGGAGGGAGGAAAGAGGAGAGTGGAGAAAGGAGGAGGAGGAGGCAGGGGGCAGAGGAGAAGGAGAGAGAAAGCAGAGGAGGAGGGGAGAGGAGGAAGAGGAGGAGGAGGAGGAGGAGGAGGAAGAGGAGGAGGAGGAGAAGGAGGCAGAGGAGGAGAAAGAGGAGGAGGGGGGAGGCAGAGGAGGAGGAGGAGGAGGAGGAGGGAGGAGGCAGAGGAGGAGCAGGAGGAGGAGGAGGAGGAGGAGGAGGTGCACAAGGAGGAGGAGGAGGACGAGGAGGAGGAGCAGGAGGAGGAGGAGGAGTGTTGCGAATGAACTCTTAAGACGGATGTGCGCGGCTCTGATGCGAGAGCCACATGTTGAAAACCACCCGCCCTCCATCCGTGAAGCTGCTGCAGGTCCCAAGCTTCAGGACCATCAACGGTGAGGAAGTCTCAAGCCATAGACCCGGCCCGCCCTACCGACACGTCTGGGGGTGCGACAGGGAGGAGCGATCGATCAGGAAAAGAAATTGATGATGAGGAAGATGAGGAAGAGGGGGAGGGGGAGGGGGAGGAGGAGGAGGAGGAGGAGGAGGAGGAGGAGGAGGAGGAGGAAAAGGAGGAGAAGTATGAGGAAAACCAATATAAACCCAAAAGTTTTCATCGATGTTGGGATACACTCTTCCTCCAAGCTCCCTCTTCATAGACCTTACAAGGGCTCATTTCTACTGAAGGAATTGCCCTCCTTGGGGACAACCGTGCAGAAATCCTGAAGCGTGCCACAACACGATTCTCGGGACGTCAACGCCACGAGTGAACCTGACTGTTGCGCCTTGGCGATCCTGAATCGTGCCGTACCACAACTGGGACTTCAACACCACGAATCAACATAACTGTTGCGCCCTGGCGATCTTGAGTCGTTCCAGAGCACCACTTCTGGTACGTGAACAATGAGAACCCATAAAAATCTTGCCATGTTCTAAAAAGAATGTGCGCGGTGCTAAGGCGAACGCCACATTTTAAAAACCCCTCGCCCTCAATCCGTGAAGCTCTTGAAAATGTTTAAACGAGGTGCGCGCGGCGCTAAGGCGAGCGCAACATATTGAAAACCATCTGCGCTCCATCTGTGAAAATGCTGTTAATTTTTAAGACTCTGAGACTCAGGCTCACAAATGGTAAGGAAGTCTCAGGCGGAACGCCCGGCCCGCCCTTCCGACTGGCCTCGGGGTGTGACAGAGAGGAGTCATTCACAAAAGAAGGGGAATGGAGGAGGAGGAGGAGGAGGAGCAGCAGCAGCAGCAGCAGCGGCAGCAGCACGGGGAGCAGGAGCAGCAGGAACGAGATGAGCAGTAGGACCAGGGAAGGCGAGGGCAACGGAGGGGACTGCAAAGCCACGGCTCTCCATCCCATGTGGGCCTCCCAGAGGGTACCCAGCAGACCTCCGTGGCCGTCCTGGCTCGAGGTTCGCAGCCAGCGCCGGACTCGCCTGGCCGCGTTTGCTGGGATCTCTTGACACCTCTGGTCGGGCTTTCCGCTCGCAGCCCGCCCGGGGCAGGGGCGTAGACAGATTCGTAGCTTCAGACGCGTGCGGGCTGCCGGTAGCTGCCAGACAAGATCTCGGGGGTCTAACTCATGAGGCCACCTCAAGCGCTGAAGTGCTGCAGGCGATCAGAATGCTGGAGCCACAGGAGAAAGAAGACCGCGCCATCGCCCTGATCCCCTGGTCGGCGAGGGCATGGAAATTGCTCACCAAACCTGACATGGACACGTGGGCCACTGCGGCGGCGCGCCAGTGGGACGCTGCGCTGCGCTGCTCCTCCTGGTTCTGCGAGGCCCTTTTGCGTTCCCACTAGGATGAGGCGGCGCAAGCGCCTGGGCATGCTGGCAAGAGTGGGGCTGGCGGACATCGCGAGGTTCTACGACTCGCTCAGCATCGAGACGGTCGCCTCAGCCAGCCAGGAGTTGGATCTGCCCCCGCGCGCGCTGAGAGCTGCAGCCGCACTGAGTCGGCCGCTGCATCAGGCAGTCGGGGGCTTACGCGGAGCCCTGCTAGGCCTGAGTATCCATGCTAGCGGGCTCAATGCACGTCGACAAGCTGGCGAGGGCGGTGGTCTACAGGGTTCTGGAGAAGCTCACCACACAGCACCCGAGGTGCCACCCCCGTGCATCGTTTGACGACGTCAGCACCTCGATCCACGGCAGCCCAGCGGCGGTGGAGACGCTGAGAGACGCCTTGAGAAATGAGGGGCTCGAAATGGCTAACACAAGTATGCTACACACATCGGGCGCTGGTATGACTCAGAGACTTGTGAGTGAGTTACAGAAGCGAGGAGCTGAGCTTCAAGCAGCGCAAGAATGCCGCCACATACTTAGCCCAGCGGCTGGAGCGAGGAGGAATTCGACACGCATGGCGAGGAGGCGGCAGACCCTCCTGCGCATGAGCACGCTCGGCAGGAAGCTCGGGGGGGCTCGGGCGCGAGAAGGGGGGGCATGCCCAACCAGGGGGCCATGCCGTCGCTCGCGCAGGGAGCGCGGGCCCACGGCGAGCCGCCCCCGGCGGGGACGCATGCGCGCAGGCGGCACACGGGCGCGCCGGCGAGACCGAGGGCGGGGCGGCGCACCGAGACCTTCCTCGCGCCGGAGGGCAGGGGCCCCGGGCTCGAGCTGCCGAGGGCACAGCTCTGGGCGCGGCTCGACCCGTGCGCCCACCGCCCAGGCGCCCGCCGGATGGCGGCGCGCGCGCGGCCCTCGCTCGCACTGGCGCCGCTCGAGCTGGGCGGGCGCCGCGCGCCCCTACCTCGTGGACGCACCCGAGGGGCGAGGAGTGGGCCGTGGCAGCAGGGCGTGAGCAACGTGACCCAGCAGACGCGACAGATGGAATCCTCGGTGGATATCGAGGACCGCCTGTGGCGGAGGGCCTCCGCGGGCCACCCGGCCAAAGGCATGGAGCAGGGCGCCGACCTCTCGGGCGCCAGGCTGACACTGCACTGAAGTGGAGGAGGACGAAGCCTGCGGAGGCGAACTCGATCCTGCAGGCCATGACGGCAAGTGCTTGGACGGCGGCGCGCTGCTTCCAGATGCTGGGTCGCGAGGCATCACCGCCGACCAAGCGACGGGAGGACGAGAGAGCCGTCGGGCCGTGGGGACAGGCTCGGGCGCGAGGACCCCGACGTTGGCTGTGCCGCGCGCAGCACGCCGCCCGCAGCCTCGCACCACGCCGCGAGCGACTGGGCGCGTGTGCCGCGCCAGGCGGGGAGAGAGCTGGCGACGGGAGGTGCAGGTGCGGGGAGCTCGGCGACGACTGCCACCGCATCTGGGGCAGCTGCCCGCTCCGCCAGCGCCACGAGGACCCCGTGAGCACGGAACGGCTGCTCGACGTGGCGGCCGGGAGCTGGGAGACGTGCCCAGCGCTGCGGCTCCGTGGGCTCCCGCCAGAGTATGGAGCCCCACCCACCCCCACCAGGTGCTACGACGTGGACCAGGAGCTCCCAGGCCAGAGGCGCAGGATGTGCGAGCGTCAGGTTTCTGAACCGCCATCTCTCGCCCGAGGAGTCTTTTGCCAAGGGAGTGCCCACGATAGCCTGGCTCGGAAACCAGGGTGCGGACAGGGTGGAGGGGCAGGAGGCATCTGATCACGCCATCCCTGCCGAGCAGCTCGCTTGCTAGCAGCGGGCTAACGCCATGGTTGCGCTCGTCAGACTCAGAACTGCTCGTGCCACTTGCTGTGACTTCGAGGCCGAGGAACGGAAGATACCGAGGAGAGACAGCTGCTGCGCAGGATGAGGCCGACCGCCGTCGCACGCGCACAATCCCGATCCTCCCACTCCTTGGTTGAGTTTCGAGCCTGCTGGAGGTTCAGCAATTGTCGTAGCACGGCATCGAAGACCTTCTCCAGCAGAGTTCCACAGAATTGGCTGTGCACCCAGCTTCCTAGCCCCCCTAAGCCCCAGCCACAACAAAGCTCGCGAGTTGCAATGGGATCGCGAATCGGGACCGGTGCACGATTCGTGCACCGGTCCCACTCTCTCGCGTACTATGAGCTCTACTGGGTTTGCACGCGTTGGGGCTGCAGGGCTAAATAAGGGCATGGACATATTCGGGGCCTGGTAAGGAGTGTACGTGTGGAAGTGGTGACACTGACACTGACACTGCGCCCTCACGTCACGAGGGACGGCCCTACGAGGGGCGGGGCGGTCGCGCCTCGGCGCGGACAAGTGGTGGGCCCCCCCAACAAGATGGGCCAGCGGGTCCTCCAGCGTCTTTCGGAAGGGCGGCCTCCCAACTGAAGTCCCTTGAGGTAGATGAGGTAGCGTTCCCGACATCGTCGGCTTGGGGTAATCCTGGGCAATCCTCGCTCCTCTCTCCTCCATCCTTTCTTCTCCCTCCTCCCTCCTCCCTCATCCTCATCCTCCATCCCTGTTTCTTACATATGACTCCTCCCTGTCCCACGGCAAGACGAGTCGGTAGGACGAGCCACGTTGTCTGGCCGAGACTTGACTGCGACTTCCTGACCACCGACGATCCTGAAGCTTGAAACTTGCAACGGTGACACGGACGGAGGGGTAGTTTTCAAAATAAGGTTCTCGCCTAAGCACCGCACACACTCGTCCCAAAAACTTGCAATAGCTTCAAGGATGGAAGCTATGTAATGGAATTCTCGCCTCAGCGCAGCGCGCATTCGTCTTAAAAGTGCGCAACAGCTTCAAGGATGGAGGGCGGCTCCTGTTCAAAAATGTCGCCCTCGCCCTAGCACAGCGTACACTACTCTCAGAACGTTTCAGAATGAGCCGTGGCCTCAGCGCCGCGCACATTCGTCCCAAAATCTTGCAACAGTCACAGGGCTGGGAGACTGTTCCTTCTCAACGCATGTGGCGTTCGCTCGAGCCTCGTCTGTTCTGAACGGCCCGAGGCTTCCACCAGTGGAGCACCTGCACAGATGGAGGGCGACTCCTCTCCCAGCTGGGACTCGCGCTAGAGATCTCCCTCGAAGTTCATGCCAGGCTGCCAGCCGCCGCGGCGGATGGGCTTGCGGGGACGCGCTTCCACCAGGAGCTCTCCGGGGCCCTCCCCACCCCCCGTCCCTCCTTGCCCCCCCCCAGCGGTCGGCGGTGCGCCGTGCGGCGGGGCGGCCGACGAACGCTCCTCCCGGTGGTGGCGGCGGCTACGGTGACTGTTGCTGGAAACCAAACTGACCGACGCATCCGCTTCAACACCTGGACCCCTCCAGTCTGGGGGCGTGACTAAGGCCTCACTCGCATTCCGCGCTGAGCCCAGCAGCCAGGGCAATGGCATCCTGACGCTTTCAATTTGTTAAGCGGCGGAGGAGGAGGACAAGGAGGAGGTGGAGGAGGAATGCTGCTGATGATGATGATTATTATCATTATGATGCTGATTATGATGCTGATGATGATGATGCTGCTGCTGATGATGATGAGGATGATAATGGTGATGATGATGATGATGATGATGATGCTGAGGGTATTGATGATGAGGATGAGGATGAGGATGAGGATGATGATGATGATGAGGATGATAATGATGATGATGATGACGATGATGATGATGATGGTGATGATGATGATGATGATGATGATGATGATGATGATGATGATGATGATGATGATGATGATGATGATGATGATGATGATGATGATGATGATGATGATGATGATGATGATGATGATGATGATGATGATGATGATGATGATGATGATGATGATGATGATGATGATGATGATGATGATGATTATGATGATGATGATGATGATGATGATGATGATGATGATGATGATGATGATGATGATGATGCTGATGATGATGAGGAGGACGAAGAGGAAGAGGAGAAGGAAAAGGACAACTCGAAACTCGGAAAGAGCGGCGGCAGGAGCAGCGCCAGGAGGGAGGGGCCTGCGTCTGCAGCCAGCCGCGCATCGCCTCGGGGCTCCTCGAGAAGGTCTGCAGCTTCTTGGCCACGTCCGGGTTGCCCTGCAGATAATCCTTTCGGGTCGGATGAAAGGGGGGGCTAACGAAACAAAAGAGGTTTTGCGAGTCCGCTCACGTAGCCGCTTCTCCCGGCGCCTCCCGGCGCCGGAAGCGCCCGTGTACCGCGCAAGGCGTCCGGCGACGGGGCGGAAACCAGCTGCGTGCAGCAGACTGCGTACCCCCCTTTTTCCAGTCCCCCCTCGGGCGCGGCCTGACCACCCCCTGGCAAACCGTGACGTTACCCTCGCCTCTCACGCTTCCTCCCGGCCATGTGTCTTGGGGCGAGGCGAGGGGGACGTCACGGAAGGAGATGGTCTGCTAGGGGTCGGTCAGGCCGCCTCTGAGCTCTGAGCCCCCCTTCGCCCGACCCGGTCCTTCACCTCGCCCCATGTGGACTCGTCAACGCCAGGCACCTCCGGCCGGGGGCGGGGCGACGCTATGGAGGAACAAGGGAGGGGGGGGGAGGAGGAGGGAAGAAAGGGGGTTGACTGCCCATGGGAGGGCGATGCGCCGACGTAGACATACGTCCAGAAGGGCGGCCCTGCGAGAGCACGGCGGTTGGGCTGGAGCCAGGGATGCACTTTGGATCCCTGTGTGCTTCATGAGCGTGAAAGGTCGCGGAGGAAGAGGGAGGGCGACAACGACGCCTGCGAAGAGCAAGGACCAGCACAATTTGGCAAAAGAAACTGAATACGCTAGCCAAGCGCCACCGCATACGTGTCAGCATGCATGCAGAAAGGCGGAAGAGTGGGAGGAGCGAAATAACGCGAGGTGCCCATAAGAGGAGAGGGAGGGAAGGTCAGGAAGGGGCGAGAGAGAAGGGGGGCATAATGACAAGGGGGGGGAGGCCATCGGATGAGAAGCGGGGGTAGCCTTGTTGCACACTGGGTGGGGTGGTGACGATCACCCAAGGGAGATTCAACCCTGGATGCATCAACGATCCTGCAGTACGCCCTCCCGTCCTAGGTTCCCTCCTCACAGGTCCAACCAGGCATCCCTTCAAGCTGCCGGAAGCAGACCCTTGAGAGACGAGCGCTCCATGGTCCTGTCTTTCAGCCGATGGCTCCCCATGTTTCGCAGGAGCAGCTGGGCCGTGCACATGAATACTTGTAGCTATCAGGAACGCGAAGAGGTGCATCAAGGAAACGCCGACAAAGAGCCCCAGAGTGCTAAAGGAAACGCCCCGATTCGGAAAGAAACTGATACGCCATTCACATGATTTTACACTTCTGGTCAGAAGTTGTTGGCAGTATCAAGCGAAACCCCGAATAAGAGAAGGGACCACCCTGCCCTCCGATCCAGCAGCTGCTGGAAACTGTTGCAAAACGAATGCTCTCGGCGCCAAGGACAGAGCCACCATGTTTAAAAACCACCAGCCCTCCATTTTACATACCCGTTGGAAACGCTCCAAACACATGTTCGCGGCGCTGGGGCGATAGTCGCACTTTGAGGACCCCCGCCCACTCCGCGTATGTACGCAGCTGCTGGAAAATGTCAAACGAATGAGCGCGGCGCTGAGGCGAAGGAGGGGGAGGAGGGGGAGGGGGAGGCGGAGGAGGAGGAGGAGGAGGAGGAGGAGGAGGAGGAGGAGGGAAAGAAGGAGGAGGAGGAGGAGGAGAAAGAGATGGAGGAGGAGGAGGAGGAGGAGGATGAGGAGGAGGAGAAGGAGAAGGAGAAGGAGAAGGAGATGGAGGAGGAGGAGGAGGAGGAGGAGGGGGACGAGGAGGAGGAGGAGGGAGGAGAAGGAGAAGGAGAGAGAGCTCGAGCCTCGTGGTCACAAACGGCGAGCGGGCCGCAGGCCCAGCGCCGCGATCTGGTGGTGAAGACGAAAAGGAGCAGGTTATCCGTAAGGAGGGGAGGAAGAGGGAGGGAAGGAGGAGGGGAGGAGGAAGAGGAGGAAGATCCTAATCCTCACCCCCCTCATCATCCTCATCCTCATCATCCTCATCATCACCGTCGTCATCGTGATCAGCAGCAGCGAGCATCAGCATCAGCATCAGCATTACCACCACTCACCATCAATCACGTTTCGGCACACCCCGCACATGGTTCGTGGCCGCACAGGAGCTCCACCGAAGGCCCCAATCGCACAGCTCGCATGGCGTGCTCGCACCCGATCCGGCACACCGCTCACACGTTTCGTGGCCCCATAAAGAGCTCCTCCGAAGGCCCCAGCGGCACAGTCCGCATGGCATACCCGCACCCGATTCGGCACACCTCTCACACGTTTCGTGCCCCCCTAGGGAGCTCCACCGAAGGCCACAATGGCACACAGTTCGCATGGCGTACCCGGACCCGATTCGGCACATCACTCACACGTTGTGTGGCCCCATAGGGAGCTCTACCGAAAGCCCCAGTGGCACAGTTCGCATGGCGTACCCGGACCCGACTCGGCACATCCCTCACACGCTTCGTGGTCCCACAGGAGCTCCACCGAAGGTTCCAGTGGCTAAGTCAGCATTTCGTACTCGCACCCGATTCGGTACACCATTCACACTTTTCATGGACCCATAAGAGCTCCACCGAAGGCCCCCGTGGCAGTCCGCGCGGCGTAGCCGCACCCAATTCGGCACGCCCCTCATACGTGTCGTGGCCCCCTAGGGAGCTTCACCGAAGGCCCCAGTGGCAGTCCGCATGGCGCACCCGCGCCCGATCTGGCACACCCCTCACACGTTTCGTGGCCCCCTAGAGAGCCTCACCGAAGGCCGCACCGGCACAGTCCGCCTGGCGTACTCGCACCCGATTCGGCACGCCCCTCACACGCTTCGTGGCCCCATAGGGCCTCAGGGAGTTCCACCGAAGGCCCCAGTGGCACAATCTGCCTGGCGTACTCGCACCCGATTCGGCACGCCCCTCACACGCTTCGTGGCCGCCTAGGGAGCTCCACCAAAGGCCCCAGCGGTACAGTCCGCATGGCACACCCGCACCCGATTCGGCACACCTCTCACACGCTTGTGGCCCCCTAGGAAGCTCCACCAAAGGCCCCAGTGGCACAATCCGCATGGCGCAGTCCGCATAGCGAACCCGCACCCGCTTCGTGACCCCTTTATGGGAGTTCCACCGAAGTCACAACGACAGTACTCAGAACAGCATGTGGGTGGGTCCCTAGCCAGGACGATTTCACTCGCGGGTACGGGCGCCACGCGCGGCAATTGGCGCCCGACGCATGACCCACGAGGGGGAGCTGCAGGGTGCTCACGCCGATGCATCGCCGATGCGGCACGATCCTGGGACCCCATCTGCCCTGGTCCCGCTTGGAAGGCCTGCAGAGGGAGGAGGAGGAGGAGGAGGAGGAGGAGGAGGAGGAGGAGGAGGAGGAGGCGGAGAAGGGGGGAGAAGAAGGGGGGAGGAGGAGGGGGGGAGACAGGAGAAGACTGTATGAGAGGGGAGGAGGAGGGGGGAAGAGGAGGAGGAGAGGAGGAGGAGGAGGAGGAGTAGGAGTAGGGATTGATTGAGGAGTGGGAGGACAGAGGGGGAGGACAGAGACAGAGGACCGAGAGGAAGGGGAGGGGGATGATGAGGGAGGAGAGGCAGCGAAGAAGACGCGGAGGGAGGGGGTGGGAGGAACGAGGAGGGACTAGGGAGGCAGGGGGGGAGGGGGAGGGAGGGAGGGAGGGAGGGAAGGAGGAGGGTTGGAGGGAGGGAGGGAGCGAGGGAGGCAAGAGCAAGATGAGCGCCTTGGCGAGGCTGATCTCGGTGCCGTCGCCCAGGCGAACCACATCAGGGGAGGCCACGGCGGCCATCGCAGGGGGGCGAGCGGGCGGGGCGCGGGACGCCACGGACCCTGTGCTGCATCAGTCCTGGACTGCTGCCTCCTTCTCCCTCCTCCGCCTCCATCCTCCCTCCTCCTCCTCCTCCGTTCCTCCTGCCCTCCCTTGCCTCCCTCCTCTTCGTCCGTTCGTCCGCCCCCCCCTCCCTCCTCATCCTCCCCTCCCCCTCCTCCTCCCCTCCGTCCTCATCTTCCCTCCCCCCGCTCCCGGTTCCTCCTCCTCCTGTCCTCCTCCTCCTCCTCCTCCCTACTCCTCCTCCCTCCTCCTCCTTCCTCCTCCTCCTCCTCCTCCTCCTCCTCCATCCCTCCTCCGTTAAACATAACTCCTCCCTGCCGTACCCGGAAACATGTCCGAGGCGGGGGCGGGCGTTTCGCCTGAGACTGATTCACCGCTCATGATCTTGAAACTTGAAATTTGCAAGAGCTTCACAGATGAAGAGCGGGTGGTTAAAAAAACGTGCCGCTCACCTTAGCGCCGCGCACATTCATCTGCCAAATGTGCGGGAGCGTCACGGATGGAGGGCGGACGATTTTCAACACATGGCTCTTGCAATAGCGCCGTTCACACATGTCTGAAACATCCTAGACAATTTCGAATATTCGTATGGTGCAAATCCCAACTTTGGTGCTCTGGCATGATTTCGAATATGTCCAGACGCAACAATAACGTTGCTTCGTAGTGTAGAAATCCGAGAAACGGCGTTCTAACACGATTCATGATCGTCAGGACGCAACCGGAACATTGACTGGATGCGTTGGCGTTGTCGCACGATTCAAACTTCTCAAACGGCGGTCTTCCAATGGAGCACTTCCCGCAATGGAAGTACATTCTTGTTGGCACCTATGAAGAGGGAACTTGGAGGAAGGGTGTTTGGCATTGTTGGAGCGTCTTGGGTTTACACTGGTCCTTCTAAGAATTCTAAGCCTTCTCCGAAGACACAGAGGGCTTCGCACCAGGCCAGAGGGACTCTGAGACGCCCCGCCTCCTTCTCACAGGCCTGGAGAAGGTCTGCCCACCCTCTCGCTTCCCCCTCAGCGCGCCGCCGATGAACTTGCAGCAACAGAGGGCCCGCAGGACGGAGCGGCGCTCCCAAAAAAAAAAATGAGGGGCGAGTTTCCGCCCTTGGGCCAAACGGCTGTAATCCACGGCGGCGGCCATCCTGCCGTGGCCCGACCGGGGGTCCAGAGGGGAGCGGGTCATGGACACACTTCGGTGGCAACTCATTGGAGCCTCCTATGCCACCTGGCTGGCTCTTGCGAATCGACGCGAATCGACGACAATCGACGCTGACCGACGCTGAATCGACGCCAAATCGACGCTAAACCAGCGTATTCTTATCGACTACCAGACGCTAGCGCAAGGCTACCATGACTTGCCACCGACCGAGCGCCCACCGCCGACGCCTGCCCGCAAAACAGGACCGTCACAGCTCCCGCGCCGGGACTCTCCGAGAGCAGCGGTCGGCGGCGAGCTGGGGAGGGGGAGTGAGAAGGGGTGGGCCTTTTCCGCGACGGCTTCTGAGAGGCCCCACCGCCTTCCGAGAAGGCCCCCCTCCTTCTCACCTCCCCACCTCGCTGGCCGCTGAGCAGCGGGAGGCCCGACTTCCGGCAACTCCGAGCCCCACGTCTGCCCCACCCCCGACGTCGTGTTTTTGCACGACGTCGGCCCCCACAGGTCTGGACCCCGTCCCCGGGACCGGTCATTCATCCCGAGTCGTTGGCCCCGAGGCCCAGCAAAGGCCCCTGGAAGCCGAAAATAGCAAAAAGCCTCCAGCCGTGATTTCTTCACAACGCGAGGGGCCCCCCTCCTCCTCCTGCTCCTCCTCCTCCTCCTCCTCCTCCTCCTCCTCCTGCTCCTCCTCCTCCTGGTCCTCCTCCTCCTCCTCCTGCTCCTCCTCCTCCTCCTGGTCCTCCTCCTCCTCCTCCTCCTCCTCCTCCTCCTCCTCCTCCTCCTCCTCGTTACAGCCCCCGGAGGCGGTGAGGAGCAGGAGGCGACAAAGGGCAGGCGCGCGCACGGAGAGGGCGGGGAAGCCAAGAGGCACCGACACCGCTGCTCCCCGAACCTCTCCAGGGGTGCGAGCGAGCGCGCGAGTGCGGTCCGGCGGGACCCGCCCTCATAGGGCTGCGCAGGGGGGCCTCTCCAGGGGACCTCTCGGCGGTGGACAAACCTCCCTTTTAGTAAACGTCCCCTCAGTGAAAACGGCCTGGGACCGAAACCGACGGACCTGGACCCGCAAAAATGACGGCCGCGACGCCCTCTCGCGAACCGAAAACGGCCAGTTCCTTAATCGAAGTGTCAGGGTAGGAGGTCTGTCCATCCCCCGGACCTCTCCAGGGGTGCGCTCGGACCATGATTCCGAGGCGAATCCGGCGGTGGCGACGAAGGCCTCCCAGGAGGCTCGCAGAAGGCGAAGGCGAGGGAGGGGCAGCGGTAGGAGCACCGTTTTCCGCCTCCGAGGGGAGGGGGAGCCCTGCTCTCCTCCCCTCCGCCCGGCCAAGGACGGCAGGACGGGCCCACCACCACCTGCGGGGAGCCGGGGCGCGGCCCCCGCCCGCGGCCGCGCGGCCGTCGAGGGGCCGCCGGCCGAGCTCCGCGCGCCTCGCGGTTCGACGCAGCCTGCGAGGGTCAACTGGCCGTGGCCGAAGCATAAGACACGTCGGCAGAACAAGCGCGTTCCACTGCTGGCAAAGTGGCTGCTCGCTGGAAGCCTGGGTCCGTCGCGGGGGACGCACGGGCCATGCCATGGCTTCGGGGCAGACAAGTCCTTGTCGGACGTCTGCGGGTCGGCACTCTGCGAGCAGTGGAATGCGCTCGGTGAGTCAGGGAAGGAAAGGGGGGAGGGCGGAGACTGGCACGGAGACGGCGAGGAAGACACCACCCTGCAGGGTTGTCGGCACATCAGCGTTATTGCCCCGAGGGGCGTGCGCAGGTCGAGGGGGGTCGAGGAGATCGACGGGGTGAAGATTGGCGAAACCGAGGTCGAGAATGAAATCAGCAAGATCGAGGAGGATGGATGGGAAAGGCGATCAAGGACGACGGCGACGTCAGGGGAGGAGGAGGAGGAGGAGGAGGAGGAGGCGGCGGAAGAGGAGGAATAGGAGGCATAAAAAAACGCGGGGAGGATGCGGGGGACGAGAAGGCCAAGGCGGGACGAGGAGAAGGCGGGGAGGATGCGGAGGAGACCGAGGAGGGGACGAGGAGGACGACGAGGACGAGGAAGGGGGGAGGATGACAGCGAGAAGAAGACGGAGGTGGACGGACGGGCCGCGCGCGCGGAGGGGGCGCGGTCCGCCTCCGTGTGGCCGGGGTACAGCTCCTGACCCCCGCCCAGACAGTCTCGCTCTCTCTCTCTCTCTCATTGTTTGTGTTTCTCTCTCTCTCTCTTGTCGTTGCCTTTTTCTCTCTCTCTCTCTCTTTTTCTCTCGCCCTCTATTTCTCTCTCTCTCTCCCTCTCTCTCGTTCTCTCTCGCTTGGGCCCAAGCAGAGGAGGAACGACGAGGAGGCAGATGGCAACGGTACTATTAAAGACGACGTTGGCCGCGATCAGGTCGTGCTCGACGCCGCCCCCCATGCCACCGCTACGATGTACGACCGCGAACAGCCCCACGACACTGCAACGGCTGGTGGTCACGCTGTTGGCGTACCGACCTCACTCGTACGACCAGCCGTCGCTAGTCAACAAAAGAAATATCTCCAGTCAACCCGAGCTGAGGCGGCGCGCGAGCGCGCGAAAGATTGAGTTTAAAATCTCACAGAGACTGGCCCTTTCACCCCCCCAACGTGAAGGACCGCCTCCACATGGTCGTCCAACCCCCTCCCCTCCTCGCACCCAAAAAAACCTCATCTTAGTGACCATCCTACTCCCAACTCCTCCTGGATTGTATTCTCTCCTTATCTCTCACATGCACTGTTTCTTCCTCTTCCTACTCTCAAGCACGCGCTAACACGGACGACAGGTCCGTAGATCTGGCACGTGGGCGCGGGGGCAAAGTGATCAAACATTATCGTCAACCGACGCCTCCCCCGAAACCATGAAGCCAACACCGCCTGGCCGGATGCTCCTCGATTTGTCCTCCTCTTCCCTCTACCCCTGATCGCCCTCCGCTCTGGCCCTGCTGTATCCTGCAAGACGACAAGGATAGCAGAGCAACGCGGCATACCATACCGCCACGGCAAACCCGCGGGCAGACCCTCATGAGGCAGACCCGCACGGCAAACCGGGGCGGCAAACCCTCACGGCAGACCACACGGGCACGGCAGACTGAGGGGCAACGTGAACCCGCACGCTCCTGGGCAGGTCGGGGCTATATCGGGCCCCGTATCGGCAATCAATGGGTGATTGGGGGTCGATGCATCCCCCTCCCCCTTCCTCCTCCTCCTCCTCCTCCTCCTCCTCCTCCTCCTCCTCTCCTCCTCCTCGTCCTCCTCCTCCTCCTCCTCCTCCTCCTCCTCCCTCCTCCTCCTCCTCCTCTCCTCCTCCTCCTCCTCCTCCTTCTCTCCTCCTCCTCCTCCTCCTCCTCCTCCTCCTCCTCCTCCTCCGCTCTCCTCCTTCCTCCCCTTCCTCCTCCTCCTCCTCCTCCTCCTCTCCTCCTCCTCCTCCTCCTCCTCCTCCTCCTCTCTCCTCCTCCTCCTCCTCCTCCTCCTCCTCCTCCTCCTCCTCCTCCTCCTCCTCCTCCTCCTCTCCTCCTCCTCCTCCTCCGCCCCCCTCCTCCTCCTCCATCCTCCTCCCTCCTCCTCCTCCTCTCCTCCTCCTCCCTCCTCCTCCTCCTCCTCCTCCTCCGCCTCCTCCTCCTCCTTCCCTTCCTCCTCCGCCCTCCTCCTCCGCCTCCGCCTCCGCCTCCGCCTCCGCCTCCTCCTCCTCCTCCTCTCTCCTCCTCCTCCTCCTCCTCCTCCTCCCTCCCTCCGCCTCCGCCTCCGCCTCCTCCTCCTCCTCCTCCTCCTCCTCCCCTCCCCTCCTCCTCCTCCTCCTCCTCCTCCTCCGCCTCCGCCTCCGCCTCCGCCTCCTCCTCCTCTCCTCCTCCTCCGTCCTCCTCCTCCTCCTCCTCCTCCTCCTCCTCCTCCTCCTCCTCCTCCTCCTCCTCCTCCTCCTCCTCCTCCTCCTCATACGCCTGTCCCCCCCTTTCTTGTTGCAGATGGGCACGGCAGTCCGGACCCGCACGGCTGGCAAGCACGGCAGACCAGAGCTGCGGGCCCGCGCAGCAGACCGCGCCGGCAGGGCGGACCGGACCCGCACGGAGCTCGACCAGGGAAGGGAGCGACCACCGAAGAACGAAAGACTGCACAAGCAACACACTCTTGGAGGTCCGCCCGGACCGCCGAGAGCTTAGGCTTCTGCCGTTTCTCTTCGAGGCCAGGGAAGGCAATGCCCCCCCCTCCCGCCGAAGTCAGGCGTCGAAGCCGCCTGCCGGCAGGCAGCGAGAACCGCGAGGTCACGCTCGCTCTGGAGGCGCCTGGCCAGGGGGCTGGGGGCGCGCGATGCAACGGAGGACGCCGGCGTAAAGGCCTCTTGGGGGGGAGGATGGGGGAGAGGGGAAGAGGAAGACAGGAAGCTGCAGGAAAAGGAGGAGGAGGAGGAGTAGAAGGATGGGGAAGGAGGGGAGAGGTGGAAGAGGGGGAAGAGGGGGAGGAAGAGGGAGAGGAGGGGGAGGACGAGGAGGAGAAGGATGACCAGAGTTAACCTGGTTTGCATCGACGATGCTGCATCGCACCCTCCCGTCCCATGTCCCCTCCTCACTAGTCCTTACAACAATTTTGCTCGGCTGCGCGAGGCACCGCCTGGAACAGCGAGCGTCCCATAGGCACGCAGTGCAGACGGGAGCTCCGTCTGGGCAGACAGTGTCCTCTATCTTTCGAGCTATATGGAACCCGACCTGGCGGGGTCATAAAGCTCGAAGGAAGAACGGGCGACAGCCCCGCTTCGAGATCGAACCGCACCCCATCCGCGTGGCTGTTGCACATGTGCTACATCTGGCCAAGAGCAAGATCATGCACATCTCAAGCGAGAGCCGAATGTTGAAAAAGAACCGACCTCCCCACCGCGACGCGGGCGCGGCCGCGTCGAGCGGGCCCAGGACGTCGCCGCGCGCGCGGGGCCCCCCTGCGGCAGCTAGCAATTGTCTCGCCGACAGGGCGCCGACACTTAAATGAGCGCCGTGAATGCAAAACGCTGACATCTAAAATCTATAGTTGTGGGGGCTGGGGTCGGTTTCCCACTGTTCACCACGTGTGACTGTTATACGGATTTACACCTGTGGAAATATGCGCGAAAAAAACTCAGGGGAGAGCCCGACAATGAGCGGAACTGGCCTGCATCGGCGCAGCTCTGGGACTGTCTTGAGACCAGCGTGCGCAGCGCCAGCGCGAGATCCGCATATTGAAAACGGCTAGCCCTCCATCCTTGTGGTGTTCGATGTTGACAATGAGTGTGTGCGGCGCCAAGGCGAGATTACAGTTTTGAAAACGGCCCAACCTCCATCCATGCAACTGTTGAAAATTTCCAGATACCCTCAACGGTGTGAGAAATTTCAAGCAAAACGCCATGCCCGCCCTGACGACACGTCTGGGAGTACGACAAGGAGGAAATACCAAGGAAAAAGAATTGAGGACGAGAAAGAGGAAGAGAGGAGGAAACGGAAACAAAGAGAAATGACAGGGAGGGGAGTAGAAAGGAGAAGGTGGGAGAGAGAAAGGAGCAGGGGAAAGGTAAAATAATAGCGAAAAAGGATAGAAGAGGATGACAAGGGAAATGGAGGAGGAGGAGCAGGAGGAGGAGGAAGAGGCGGAGGAGGGAGGATAATGACGAGGGAAGACGTGGAGGGGGGCAGAGAAGGAAGCGAGGGAGGAAGGAGCAGCAGAGAGGAGGAGGCATGGAGGAAGGAACCCGCGTCGACAGAGCGAGCATGGCGAAGGCGCCAGGGCCGTTGCCGGTGACGTCCACCCAGGGAAACGCACACTGTCAAAGCCCATCGCAACGATGTGATGTAGAGGCTGCAAGTCCCTTGAACGTTTTTCGCGTGAACTGCAGCGGCAGCGGCAGCGGGCCCGGAAGCTCTTCCGAGGAGGCACCGCGCCCATTGTTTTTTCTAGGCTCTGCCCGCGCGGTGGGCAACTCACCCGCCCTTGGGGCCGGGAGGCACGCCAGGCGTCCAACGCGTGCACAGGTCTACTTCCAATCATTTCCTCCTCCTCCTCCTCCTCCTCCTCCTCCTCCTCCTCCTCCTCCTCCTCCCCCTCCTCCTCCTCCTCCTCCTCCTCCTCCTCCTCCCCCTCCTCCTCCTCTCACCGCTCCCCTCCCGCCGGAGCAGGGAGGGGGAGGAACGGGGCAGAACTGCACGGCTGCCCACCTCCCACGCGCTGTCAGCCCCGGGTCTGTGCCCGGTGCCGCGGAGGGGGGGACCGGGGAGGTGCCTGGACCAACGTCCCTCCCTCCCTCTCTCTCTCTCTCTCACTGTCTCTCTCCTCCCTCCCTCCCTCTCTCCCTCTCACTCTCTCTCTCACTGTCTCTCTCCCTCTCTCCCTCTCTCCCTCTCTCCCTCTCTCTCTCTCTCTCCCTCGGTGCCAACGTCCCTCCCTCCCTCCCTCTCTCTCTCTCTCACTGTCTCTCTCTGGGGCAGTGCGCCCCCAGGATGGCAGACCCTCGTGGACGCAGGCGGGCAGCCCTGGAGCATCGCTGCACCGATCCCGGCCTGGCCTCGGAGGAAGTCAGCGAACACTCGTGCCACACGCATCGGAGCGGCGATCGAAACGGATCTTACGCGAGATGGCATAGCGACCTTACGCTGTAGCTTACGCGGGCAGCCGGCGCCGCACGCCACATTGGAGACGAGGGCGCTTGCGCACGACCTTTCGCAGACAGCTTACGCGAGAGTGTCGGCGCAGACGACCCCGCTTTTGTGCGTCGCTCATCTGTCAATGCGCTCCCTTCCCCATGATCAGAGTTGGTTGTGGGTTTAATGGCGTGCACTTCGACGGCAGTCTTCCCCGCGCGTACCAACTTTGACTCTGGGGGAGAGGGGGAGAGTGCAATGATTATTTCCCTCTACCGTATCCCCACTGGCATGGCCTCAGCCCCACCGGCCGACCTGCCCCCCCTATGTGGGTATGCATACTGTTCTCGTCGGGTTTCGCGGGACCTGTTCTCATCTGGGGGGCTGGGCGGGTGGAACTGAAATACCACGTCGTCGTCGTCGTCGTCTTCGTCGTCGTCCTCGTCCTTCAGGGTCGGCGGCACCGGCCGCAAGGCCTTCACAATACCACGGCCCAATGGGGATGCTGAGCTGTGCTGCGGATGTGACCACCACGGGCCAGAGGCGCAGGTCACTCGAGCGCAACAGCCACCGAGCTCCGGGCAGAAGGCCCCCCCCCCCTTCAGAAGGGCATGCAGATATCTTGCTTGGAGGAAGGAGGAGGAGGAGGAGGAGGCTCAGGAGGAGAAGGAGGAGGAGGGGGAGGAGAAGGAGGAGGACAAGCTAGGTGCGCTCGCGTCATATCTGACATCCTACCCCTCCCTCCCATCCCTTACCATGGCGCAGATCCCCTCTCTACTCGCTCAGTCGGATGTCGAGCAGGGCGCAATGATGGGTACGCGATGCATTGTAGAGCACGGCATGGCATGGCGTAGAAGAGCACCGCAAAGCGTAGTATCAACCTAGCATTGCAGTGCATGCCGTGGCATGGCACGGGAAATGACGCCAGCGCTGCAGCGGGAGCAGGAGTCGAAACGAGCGGAAGCGCGGAAATGAGGCCAGCGCTGCAGCGGGAGCACGATTCGGAACGAGCGGAAGCACGGAAATGAGGCCAGCGCTGCAGCGGGAGCACGATTCGGAACGAGCGGGGCCCGAAAATGAGGCCGGCGCCTCAGCGAGAGCAGCATTTTGAAAAAAATGCAGGCGAAAACCCAACTCCGGGGAAACCTGTGTAAAAAACAGTACGCGGGGGGGGGGTCGGACACTCCCAGGCCGTCATCAGGGGAAGAGGGAGAGTAGTATTCATGTTGAGTAAGAGGAGGAGGAGGAGGAGGAGGGAGGAGGAGGAGAGGAGGAGGAGGGAGGAGAAGGAGAAGGAGGAGGAGGAGGAGGGGGAGGAGAAGGAGGAGGAGAAGGAGGAGGGGGACCTCTCCGCGCCACCTCACTTGGTGGCTGACCAAGGTGGGCACCTCAGAGGAGAGCACCCAAGGCATCCTCCAGGACGCTGGCCCCACAGGGCCAGTAGACCCGAAGGAGGGGGGTACCCACGAGGCCCACGGGCCTCCCTCATTGTCCACAGTGCGGCCGCCACGAGCTTTCTGCCCCCCCATCATTTCCCTCCTTTGGGGTATTCATGATACCTGTCCCCCCTCTCTCTCTCTCTCTGCTCACCCACCAGTTTTGCCCCCCCTCATCTCCCTCCTGTGGGGTCTTCATCATACCTTTCCACTTCTCTCTCACTCTCTCTCTCTCTCTCTCTCTCTCTCTTTCTCTTTAACTTTCTCCCTCTCTACTCACCCGCGATTTACACATCCTCCGCCACCGGCAGTAAGGTGGGGGAGGGGCGGATTATGCAGACACAGACTAGGCGGGACGGCATCACCAACCACAAGGGGACGGCACTCACTCAAACGCTGCGCCGCGCTGCCCAACATTCCCCTAATCGTATCCGCCCTCTCCTCGTCCATCATATTGACTACCTACCAGACCACCCCAACCCAACCCGAAGACCCGAATTTCGGGTGGGGGGGGGTACGAGTTACATGTGTGTTTTCTTTCTCAATGTTCCCCGCCCCCCCCCCGCTGGAAATGGAGGGCAGACTGAAGCCTTCGGGTTGGGTTGGGGTGGTTTCGTGGGTGGTAACATGTGAGGCATCCTCCTTTCTCCCTCCTCCCCTCATCCTCTCAGATGTCTGTCTGTCCGCCGACATGTCCTATCTCATTAGAGATGCCTGCCAGTGACCCGTGGAGCGGTGCTCCGGGGGACACCTGGCATCCGTTTGATCAGCACCCCCTCAGGGCCGACCGCCCTGCGGGGGGGGAGGCTACGTTCGGACGAATCTTGCAGCCATCAGGTGTCAGGGAGGAGGAGGAGGAGGAGGAGGAGGAGGAGGAGGAGGAGGGGGAGGAGGAGGGAGGAGGAGGAAGGAGGGGGAGGAGGAGGAGGAGGGGGGAGGAGGAGGAGGAGGAGGAGGAGGAGAGGAGGAGGAGGAGGAGGGGAGGAGGAGGAGGAGGAGAGGCACTACCGCCAGACTGCCGACCCACTCGGCATTCAGGAAGGACCCAGGGATCGGCGGGGGGCCGGGCGCCTGTGAGCTCCACGTAGGAGTCCTCTATGGCGTCCTGGATGTCCGGGCTGGACATGAACGTGTCCACGTTGTCCGTGTAGAAGAGGATCTTCGTGGTGAGGGTCTGCGGGTCTGCCCCGTGCGTCGTCGTGGTCGTCCGCGAGGTCGCGGAGCCCGTCGTGAGCGTCGACGAGGTCGCGGTGGCTGTGACGGTCGACGAGTCGGTGGCGGTGGTTGTGTTGCCCGCGGGCGCCTCCGTGGAGCCGCGGCGGCGTGTGCGCGCGCCGAAGCATGGCACCGTGGTGCCACGACGCGGCGGTCCCTGCTTCTACTCCCTCCCTCCCTCCCTCCCTCCCCCCCCCCATCCCAACCTCCTCCTCCTCCCTCCTAACCCTCCTCCTCCTCCTCCTCCTTCTCCTCCCCCTCCTCATTCTCCTCCTTCTCCTCCCTCTCCTCCTCCTGCTCCCCCTCCTCCTCCTCCTCCCCCTCCTCCTCCTCCTCCTCCTCCTCCTCCTCCTCCTCCTCCACCTCCCGCCGTCCCTCCCTCCCGCCATCCCTCCTCCTCCACTCCTCTTCCTTGTAGATAACTCCGCCCTGTCGCACCCCGAGGCCGATCGAAGGGGCGAGTCAGGCGTTTCGCCTGAGAACTCCTCACCACTATGACCCTGGAGCTTCAAATTTGCAACAGTTTCACGGATGGATGGCGGGTCGTTTCCAAAATGTGGATCTCGCCTTGGCGCCGCGCACATCCGTCTTAGAACATTGCAAGAGCTTCACGGATGGAGGGCGGGTGGTTTACGAAATGCAGTTTTCGCCTTAGCGCGCCGCGCATCCGTCTTAAAAGTTCGCAACAGCTTCACGGATGGAGGGCTGGTGGTTTGCAATATGTAGCTGTCGCCTTAGCGCCAAGCACATTCGCTTTACGAGTTCACAACAGTTTAAAGAGTCCCACAACCCTTTGGGCGACAGGTGGCCTAACGAGGGTCTCTTTCCTCTTTCACAACCCCTCTTCCCATTGGGGAGAGGAAACCTCCCCCTCCCCTCCCTGAGGTTTTTTGGAAGAGGCCGCGAGGTGTCAGAGGGTTCTTTTTCTGTCCCTGGGAGGGCCAATGTTTGACACCCCTCACGAGGATGATGGCCCCCGATGGGACGACGAACATTTAGTACCCCCCCTCTTTTGACCGACCGCCTCCGAGATGGCCCCAAGAGGCCCTCCAGGCACCCAAGAGGGTCCCACGAGCGCCCAAAGAGGCCCCGAGAGGGCTCCAAGGGGCCCCCGAGATGCCGCCAAGAGGCCCCAGAGTGGTCCCCAAGCAGCCTCAGAGAGCCCAAGATGACCTCCAAGATGGCTCAAGATAGTCCAAGCTGGCTCAAGATGGTCCCAAGATGCCCCAAGAGGCCCCGAGACCGCTCCAAGACGACTTAAGATGGGCACAGAGCCTCCGCAGGAGGCCGCCAAGAGGCCAACATCCTTGAACAACCTTACAGTCGGTCTTCTCGCCGTCTTAAGCCGCGTTAAGAAAATCCATGAGGTTGGCCTTCTCGCCTTTTTGCTTTCGATGGCCGTCCGAGGCCTCAAGATGCCTCCTCCTCCTCCTCCTCCTCCTCCTCACTCTCTTTGTCCTCGTCCTCCTCATCCTCGTCCTCCTTCTCGTCTTGCTCCTCTTGTCTCCTCCCTCCTCCTTCTCCTCCTCCTCCTCCTCCGGCTCCTCCTCGTCGTGCTGCTGATCATCAGCGCAATCATCTGCATCCTCAGCAGCAGCATCAGCATCAGCAGCATGAAAAGCAGCATCATCGTCGTCGGCATCCGAATCATCATCGTCAACATCAACCTCATCATCATCATCATCATCATCATCATCATCATCATCATCATCATCATCATCATCATCATCAGCATCATCATCATCATCATCATCATCATCATCATCATCAGCATCAGCATAATCATCATCATGCTCACGATCATGATCACCATCACCATCAGCAGCAGGAAAATCATCCCGATCCCCACCCCGATGTTCCATCATAATCGTCAACATCATCAGCATCAACATCATCAGCTCATCAGCATCATCGGAAGCATCATGATCATCATCATCATCATCATCAGCATCAGCATCAGCATCATCATCATCATCATCATCATCATCGTCGTCGCCGTCAGCGTCGTCGTCGTCGACGTCGACGTCCGCGACATCCTCCTCCTCCTCCTCGTCCTCATCATCATCACTACCATCAGCATCATCAGCATCATCATCAGCATCAGCAGCATCAGCAGCATCATCATCAGCATCATCAGCATCGTCATCAGCATCATCATCATCATCACGAGCATCATCATCATCATCATCATCATCATCATCATCATCATCAGCAGCAGCAGCAGCAGCATCATCATCATCATCATCATCATCATCATCATCATCATCCTCATCATCATCATCATCATCGTCATCATCATCATCATCATCATCATCATCATCATCATCAGCATCATCATCATCATCATCATCATCATCATCATCATCACCAGCGCCAGCATCATCCAATTCATCATCATAATAAGCCTCATCATCAGCCTCGTCATCATCTTCATAGTGTTCATACTTGTCAGCTTTAGCCACAGCATCATCATCGCAAGCATCCTGATCACCACCAAGACCATCATCAACATCATCATTATCAACATCGGCAGCACCATCATGATCAGTCATCGTTATCATCGTCATCATCAAAATCATCATCAACATCGTCGTCGGAGTCATCGTCGTCGTGATCAGTGTTATCCTCATGATCACCACCATCAGCACCAGCATCACCATCATCATCATCATCATCATCAGCATCATCGCAATCGTCATCACCGACAACGTCGTCATCATCACCAACATCGTCATCGTCACCATCATTCTCATCATGATCGTCATCATCCTCATCACCACCAACACAATCGTCGACATCACCAATCAAATCACCACAATCAATAACATAACCATAATCACAATATGAAATCCGTAACATCATCCGTCACATATGGCGGGTCATCCTGCTCGTATCCCGTCGCCAGTGTTGTTTGCTGTGTCGCTCTCCCTTCGAGGCGCCCACTGCAACTGTCGTGTCCTACTATGCTCAATGCCTCAGTCTGTCCACATTCGTCATCCTACCCATTCGTCATCAGCGTCAGCCACAACGTCGCCATCGTTGCCATCATCAGCATCATCAGCAGCAGCATCAGCATCAGCATCAGCATCAGCATCAGCATCAGCATCAGCATCAGCAGCATCATCATCATCATCAGCATCATCAGCATCATCATCATCATCATCATCATCATCATCATAAGCATCATCATCAGCATCATCATCACCGTCAGCATCATTATCATTATCACCATCATCGTCATCATAATCATCATATCAGCCAGTGTTGACTCCAGGTAGATATGATGACAGGAGGAGGGCGAGGGGAGGATGGGAGGAGAACGAACGGAGGACGGGAGCAGGACGGGAGGAGAACGGGAGGAGCAACATCAAGCAAGCGCAAGCAAGCAAGCGGAAGCAAGCAAGCGCAGGCGAGTAATAAAAAGGACGCAAGAGAGCCAGCGACCAAGTGCAAGCAAGCAAGGGCAAACAAGAGCAAGCAAGCGAGAGCAAGCACACAAGAGCAAGCAAGCAAGTGCCTATGGAAAAAGGGGGGCATTGGAAAAGGGGGGGCATTGGAAAAAAGGTCGAGCTAAAGACAAATTACTTATGATGAGCTAGGACTCCTACAGGGCAAGCCTATGTGGAGAATCATCATCATCAGCATCATCAGCATCATCATCATCATCCTCATCATCATTATCATCATCTTCGTCTTCACCACCAATCATCATCATCATCATCATCATCATCATCATCATCATAATTCCCCTCATCACCATCGTCATCATCGTCTTCGTCAACTTATTCGTGGACATGTTCATCATCGTCACCATAATTATCATTGGCATCATCATCATCTGAATCATCATCACCATCAGCATCATCATCGTCACCATCATCAGCATCAGTATCACCATCATCATCGTCACCATCATGCAGTATCGGCATCATCATGATCATCATCATCATCATCATCATCATCATCATCATCATCATCATCATCATCAGTCGTCATCATCGGCATCGTCATCATCATGGCCGTCTTCGTCATCAGCATCATCAGCATCATCATTATCAGCATCAGTATCAGCATCAGCATCAGCATCAGCATCAGCATCAGCAGCAGCATCATCATCATCATCATCATCATCATCATCATCATCATCATCATCATCATCATCAACATCATGACCATTGTCATCATCACCATTGTCATCATCACCATCATCAACATCATCAACATGGGCATCGGCTGTAAATAACATCATCCGTTGCGTGTGGCGTGTCCTCCTGCGTAGCCGGTCCCCCACCCCAAGACGGCCCAAGAGGGCTCCAAGAGAGGCCCACGACCGTCCAAGAGGGCCCCACGACAGCCCAAGAGGCGCCCAAGACGGTCCAAGAGGACCCCAAGAGGGCCCCAAGAGAGGCCCAACATGGAGACCACGAACCGAAAATCCGAGCCTTCCGCTCCAAGAGGCCTCCTGGAGGCTCCAAGAGGCCCCGAAGAGGCCCCAAAAGGCGTCAAGGGGCCCGAAAGAGACCCCAAGAGGCTCGACAACGACTCCCGAGAGTCTCCAAGAACACCCTCGAGAGGCATCCAACGAGATCCCAATGAACGTCCACGAAGCCTCAGAGCGCCAAAACCATTGATTTCCATTGGGTTTTTCAAGGTTTTTGGCTTCTTCGCCTTTTCGCCTTTCCAACGCTCCAAGACGGCCCAAGAAGCTTCCAAGACCACCCCAAGACGGCCCAAGAGGCCTCCAAGAGAGGCCCACGACCGTCCAAGAGGGCCCCACGACAGCCCAAGGGGCGCCCAAGAAGGTCCAAAAGGACCCCAAGAGGGCCCCAAGAGAGGCCCAAGATGGAGACCACGAACCGAAAATCCGAGCCTTCCGCTCCAAGAGGCCTCCTGGAGGCTCCAAGAGGCCCCCAAGAGGCCCCAACAAGCGACAAGGGGCCCGAACGAGATCCCAAGAGGCTCGAAAACGACTCCCGAGAGTCTCCAAGAACACCCTCGAGAGGCATCCAACGAGATCCCAATGAACGTCCACGAAGCCTCAGAGCGCCAAAACCATTGATTTCCATCGGGTTTTTCAAGGTTTTCGGC